AGTAGGTTGGCTTGCTGCTGGGGTCCAGCCAATCGGGACTGAGCGAAGATGGACCAGACACACCCTGGAGCCCTCCCGCAGTCCCTCCCTGGTTGGCCAATCTCCCGTGTCCCTCCCCGGCCCCGATTGTGCACCTGTGGGGTCCCTCAGCCTGGCCTGCGCCCTTTCACAATCCAGGACCCCTTGGGGGATGTCAGAGAGCCAGTTTCGGCCCAATCCCACAAGCCAGGACAAGGGACCCTACTGGTGCACGAATTTGTGCACCGGGCCTCTAGTTAGATTATAAAAGTACCAATTACAGAAACTAAATCTCTGGGGTCTTAGGGGTATCAGTAGCACTAAAATACCTTTATATCTTATTTACTTTCCTAAAGGAGGAAAAATGGATAATCTGAGAACATAAAATCAAAAGCATTCTTTGAAAATGAGCAGCATCTGATAAACATAACCCTCTGCTCCTGGCTTAATTCCTCCTTCTCCTGCTCCTAAACATGACCCACATTACACTGTTCCATCCCACATCACGACCACCTCCTCTGCATCCTACCACAGTTCTGGAAAGAACTCTTCTCTGCTCCTTCTGTAATTTCTGACTTGAGGATGCCATTACATTCAACTATGACAATTTCTATGCAAACAATATAAAATCCATATCACTACAGTGATATCTACCTCAAGTCTACAACTGCTTACCTGACATCTTTATCTGGGAAGCAGAGTAATAAAATGACTAAACATACAGACTCCTAGTCAGACTGCCTACATTAAAATCCCACCTAAACCCATTTATGAACCGAACAGTCTTAGAAACTTCATATATGAAAGAGAGGCTCTTCATCTGTCAAATAGAAATAAAATTGAAACCTACAATGTGACAGCCTGCAAAAATCAAGCTAGATAATATCCAATTGATGTAAAGCACTTTGAGTAGTCTGCCACAAAGAATACAATCAATAAAGATAAAAGACGATCCATTATTTTAATATAATATTTAGCTGTGACTTCAAATACAACATGATTAAAACCAAAACATGTCTTCCCTCTAACTGAATCCCCTTTCTGGAATTCCCTCTATCATTCTAGTCAAAAATCTAGATGTCATATTCAATAATGCTAAAAGTGTAAAGAATTCTTCTTTCTCAAGTCGACTCCTTCCTTTCAACTCTGAATGCGGCCACCAGAAAGGAGGCATCAGTACCTGGACTACTGCAACTCTGTCCTAGGGACTCCTGATCTAGACTCATTTATACCCAGCCATCCTTCACACTGCTGCATGATATAACTCCCTGAGACCAAGAGAGTAGGCACATTTAGAAAATTATTTTTTTTAATTTACCTTTTACAATAGCATAAAGATAAAAAAGTACTGCACAGGTAAAAGGAGAAAGAATAGAATACTTTTTAAATTAGTGATACTGGAACAATTCAGTACCTATGTACACTTTTAGGGAAAAAATTCTAAAAGATTCACAGGAATGCCCTGGCTGGCTCAGCTCAGTGATGAGAGTGTCAGCCTGTGGACCAAAAGGCCTCTGGTTCAGCTGCAGATGGATGAATCCCTGGCAAGATCGGGGTGCATGTAGGAACCATCCAATGGATGTGTCTCTCATATCAGTTTCTCTCTCTCTTTGCCTCCCTCCCTCCATCCCTCCTCTCTTTCAATTTGTCTCCCTCTCCTCCTTCCCTTCCACTCTATCTAAAAAAAAAATCAATGGAAAAAATATTCTCAGGTGAGGATTAACAAAACAAAAAAAAAGAAGACAACTCAATGTAGTCAAAATCAAAATCACTTGAAATTATAGGGAAGGGCAAAGAAAAGCCAAGACACCCTTAAAGAAAAACAAAAACACATAAACATTCTCAAATATCCAGACTTAATATAAATCTAGACTAATTATGACTGTGTACAATAAGTATCATAATAAAGAAATAGAATAATAAAAAATAAATAAAACCCAGAGATAGACCCAAGCATCTATGGACACTCAATATGACAGAGTGGGTAATCTATATATATAAAAAGCCAGTGACTGGAACGCCATAACAACCAGAATGACCGGTCACTATGATGCCCACTGCGGCCAGTGAACTAGCCAGATCCGGGGGTGGGGCCGGCGGCCAACCTCCCC